TTTTTTTTTGGCTAAAGGTTGCAGGCTTGCCTTCCAGTGGCTTTGGCAATGCTTCACAGTCTGCTGTGTCATGTTTAGAAACACCAATAGTGAAACAGCACAGTCATGAAATCATGGTTCCTATTTAGACTCTCACAACACAGGAACATTTTTACATTTTTCTGGGCATCTCTTGTTGAATCATTAGACTGGAAAGAAGCCTGGTTGTTGCCTCACAAGTAGTAATTCATAAAATATATCCTGTTATATCTTTATATAGGTAAGCACCTTGATTCTTGACTCAAAAGCAAAAATTGTCTAATTCGCAGCCTTCTTTCTCACATAAATGAATTGAAATCGAAGCATTCCTTAAATCTTAGGTTGATTAAAAGCAAGAAAAGTAATATATATATATATTTCTTAAATATTATGATGATTGTTTTGGTAATACCACAGATGCACAAGATTTCCCTCTGTGTGTGTTTATTATTATTATCTTATTTTATTCTTTCATTTTGTAGGTGAAACTTTAAAAGGTGTGATATTTTTTTACTTTGTTTATCCTGTAGAGGTTCTATATGTTCTGCCTTTTATGTATGTTTAATGTTTTATGCATAATAATAATAATAATAAACAAAAATTGTTATCTTTATAAGACTTAATGCATTTAAAAATATACTTATAAACACTTTAACCCGATAAACAAACGGATTCAAACAACTTGTTATGCTGCCTGGTCACACTGTGGGTTTGTTTAACCTCATGTTGCTCTGTCATGAGAGCCTGCTGAGATTTCTGAGTCGAGAAAACGTCCAGTCATGGTTAGTATAAGCATGTGGTACTACCTCAACATTTTCACTTCCCTTCTGGAATCCAGTGACTCAGATGGGAAGGAGAACCTATATAAATGAAGTGAGGCGGTCAGGGAAGTCAAAGCCACAGTGAGCGCCGGGAACACAAGACAGGACATCTGCAGCACAAGTAGGAACATGACAAAACTTCATTTATTAATCTGTTACAGGGCACAAATGTGATTTGATAACAAATATCTGTTGTTTTAAGGATGGAGTCCATGAAAAGCAAACCAAGAGAAGCCACTGGCAGGTAAAATGCTTTGCGTTGTCATTCATTTCATAGTGATTACGAATGCATTTCAAGCCTGAAGTAAATCATATCAAAAATAAGAAGCACTCATGTGTAGCAATGGTATAGATGTATGGATGTTGCAGTGCTAGATATAGGCTCGGACAGTGAGTCAGTGATTCATAAAAGCTTCAGTATTAAGAAGCTTATCTATTTAGTGAACTACTTGTGAGGGATTGTGGCATTATAAAAACAATTATTAAATTTAATTAAATTAATTTTCTCCACAGTGATCTGTCTGAGCAGATAAAAGCAGCCACCAAAGACAGTCACGTTCGAGCTGAGAACACACAACTGATGCTCAACTACCAGAAAGGACAGATCACGCAAACACAGTACAAGGTAAAACTACAGAAAACCAATACACTTTGGGGGGGG